CAGAGAGGTTGGAAAGAAGTTGTGGACGAAATGTTTGATAAGATTTAGAGATTCATAGGCGGCGTAGTGTGCTCTTTATGTGACGATTTTCTCTGTACGATGACGGAAATGTAAAATTAATACTAAATATATATTTTCCTGCGAATTACACCGCGAAGAAGTTAGACACAATCCTTTCGCGTTCCGTTCACAACGTACAACCAATTTTCCAGCCACTTACCATCCACTCTGCCTCCTATATATACTTCGACGCGAATTCAATTTATTGATAAATATCTATAACCTGCATTATCCTTGAATAGACCGGAGGCATTCGCGAAATTTCGAGCAAAACGATCAAATCGCCTACCTACGTTCGTGCCTGGAATAATCAGAGGGAGAGCTATATCCTGACGTTGAACGTTGTCGACGTGAAGACTTATCGGAAGAAGAGAAAAAAAAAAGAGAGAGCAGCAGCTCTCTCGTTCATCGACGATACGATCAGTATGTAATGATCGCTATAAAGCGGGGCCAGTTAAGGGCGAGGATATTTTAAATGAAAAGAAGGATAAATTTATCACGGCCCCGTCGAACGATTTATCACGACGATACATTCGAGCTACGGACGTTCCGGAGAACGTACGAGGGCGTCAGCTGCGGGAAACCGCTCCGGGGGAAGTAGATCCCCATCCGATCATTGTTCATACGAACCTAGCATATAATGCGATGCCAGCCAGAGTCAAATATATATATATGTCTATTATACGTAACCCCATTTCGGTTTTTCTCACGACTACGCCGTGAACGCTCTCGTTGACGGACTCTATGTCTTCGTGGCTCTTTTTGCGAGGGAGAAAGCGACGTCTTTGATACACAGCGGTGTCTAGAAGAACTTATGCGAGCGAAAGAGTTCGATTTTTTCTTTTTTTGCGCGGTGGATTGAAGAGAGAGTTGATTTAAACTTTACACGTAGAAATTATTTACCGTTATTTGCTCGAGTAAATAGGTTGTGCATTTATGCAGATTTTGGATAATTAACGTTAATCTGTAGAATTCATGAATTTGGGGATATTAATGCAATTTGTACGAACGCTTTTCGTGTAACTGGAAAAATCTGAGATGTATTTGAAGTGAAATTTTTTAACGTGAAAGTGACTACTCTTTTTATCTCGCAAGGCCGTGTGATGTTGATAACGAGTGGTCAGGATGATACTTAAAATCGAAATTGGTAAATTTTTCTACGCGGCGTTTTTTTATTGTTAGGGTCACCGGACACTTTTGCTTATTTCTATTTAATTTCAACGGTTGCACCTTTTGTTCGACTGTGCAAATTTTTCGAGCTCGTCTCAAAGGAACGGGGGACACTGTAAAGAGACGGCGTTTACGTTCTTCAAGTGTTTCGGCCTGCTAATTAACGTGCTCGAGACAGTAAAGTCGAGAAATGCTCTTTTTTAGGAACAATTATGCTCGCTGAAGGAACGAGTAAACCTCGCGTAAACTTCTCGCCGCTGGAGAAACGCTCCCCTCCGCGATTGCTCTCTTCTGCTCGTTTTTTATTCGAAAAGCGCGCGCGAAAAAATGCAGTCTGCGCTGCCGCTCTCCGCGCAACTAATAGTTCAACCTTAGGCGAAAATGTCTCGTTTCATAAAGCAAGTAAAGCGAAATTACTCACCGGCGCTCGTTCCAGTCGTGAAAAATCCTACTCCCCCTTTTTTATTTCACTTAACTCCGTTACACTCGAATCTTACTTCCACTTCGTTCTGCTCGAACAAACGCGAGAATCCTAATTTGTGTTCCTTCAAAAAAATCACCGGAAACTCGATCTTTCTTGCCTCTTCGAAAGGGAAGTTACTAAGAATATTGAAGTTTATCTGTGCGAATCTTATGTTCGAAACGTGGAATTTTTACTGCATCGAATAAACCATGTTTGTAAATCATCGTATAACATCCTGGCCACCAATCGCATCGCCTCATGAAACCAATTATAACTAACCCAACACCCCGTTCTATCTCCCTCTCTCTGAAAATTACCAACCGACACACGCACAAATCGTCCCACACTGTATATAAAACTCATCAACCCCTCTGCTACGAGAATTCCACCCCTATTCCTGGTATGGAACTACTGGGTCTACAGTGTGGTTCGTTTGTTTCCCGGCCAAATAGCCGGAATCTCGCATGACCTTACCGGAAATATCGTGCTTTTCGGGCCAAGTCACGGGTCGCTCTTATTTCATAGAGAATAGCACGACATCTTGCCGGCCTTTTCCCTGCCTATAGATCCCGTTAACACAATCGAGCGTGTTTTGGCACGGCCACCGGCCCGCTGTTTAGCGGGATAGCCGACCAACCCCTTAACCAACCCCGGTTTTATTCCTCCACGAGGCTGTTATAACGGGAGACGTAAAAGTTTCGCCGTAGAACTATGTCGGCGGAGGATACACGCGAGGACGGTTTTTCCTCGAGCTTCTTCTCCTCTCTGTTGGACACGTTACGTATATCCTCTCGCTCTCTTTTTCTGTGACACACGCGCTCCCTCGGTCTCTCCCTTGTGCCCGCTCTCTTTCTCTCTGGCACACACATATTCTCTCACTCTTTTTGTCTGTGACATACACTCTCTCTCGGTCTCTCTTATTCTCTCTCTGTTTTTCTCTGCTCATTCTCACTCTTTTTCTCTCTAACGCACACACTCACTTCTCTGTGACACACACTCTCTCTTATTCCCTCTCAGTCTCTCCCTTACTCTCACTCTCTTTCTCTCTGACACTCGGCTCTCTCAGACTCTCCTTCAGCCTTTCTCCCTCTCGCATTCGTACTCTCACTCTTTTTCTCTCTATCACACACAGTCACTCTCACTTTTTTTTTCTCTAACACACACTCTCTCTCTCTCACTCCCACTTCTTCTGTCTGATACACACACACTCTCTCCCTCTAATTTTCTTTCCCTCTCATAAACTCCCTTACTCTCCCTCTGTTTCTCTCTTATAAACTCTCTCTCTAATTTTCTTTCCCTCATAAACTCTCTTCCTCCCCCTCTGTCTCTCTCTTTGATTCGTTTTCCTTCGCCACCACAGTTGCACAGCGAAGCCTCGTACTCCTTCTTCCTTCGTAGCCCTACTCCCGTCGGTCGACATTGTTCCACATTCGAGACGCTGCCTGGAGAACCGCCGGTAAATCCGACAGCTGCGTCGAATCCTGCTTCTCGTCAAATCGCGTCGGTGGTACGGGAGGGAGGCTAAAAACAACGAGCCAGCGAAATGCCTATGGCCGGATGAAAGTTTCGCGAACGACTTCGCCGAAACGGATACCAGAGGGGATCATTCCCGTTTCTTTTACTCCCTTTTTCTTTCCGGCTACTTTCTTACGCTCGCCTTGCTCGTTCCTTGAAATAAGCTAGGATACGATGGATCCTTTCGTTTCGTTCTTTTGTTTGCTTCTTATGTTCCCCGGCAGAGAAGAAGACCGGGGGAGTGGAAATAGCCGGATCGCGTGCTCTAATTTGATTAACGAAAATACGATTGATACGATCGCGCCAGGGTTTTAAGTTTCGACTACGCGAACAGATGAAGAGGTTTACCGAAATGGTTCGATTTAATTCGATATTATCGATAGATGGTAGCGTTGAGATATTTCATTTGTGTCCTTACTTAATTGACGTTTGCTAGATGTTCTTAGAAATATAACCGCGTTACGTATCACTTACAATTAGACAGATAATGTTATCGCGTTCTCCTTATGGGGAGTAATATAGTTTAGGTATAATAGCATCCGCAGCTGAGCCTTTACACCTGCGAGATGTGTATCGAAGATGGTATTATTGTAGTGTTAATTATGTATTTTAAATAATTTCAAGATATTATCGTAGTATTATGGAGAATATTCGATATGCTCACAGGTACTCCAAACAACGAATTTATAATTATTCAATTTATACACAAAAATTATTTAATCAACATTCTTCCCATTTCCTCGCGTAAAATTATCTTTTTTAAATTTTCCCGCTACTTCAGTATCTCGCCATTTTCCTCGTAAATGTATAGTCGATGGAAGCGATGCAACGAAGTCGCATATTAAAACACTGAATTTCCTGAAAATTAAATCAAACTAACTATTCAATTTATACACAATCTTCTCTCATTTCCCCACGCAAAATCATCTTTTTTAAATTTTCCCGCTACTTCAGTATCTCGCCATTTTCCTCGAAAATGTATAGTCGATGGAAGCGATGCAACGAAGTCGCAAATTAAAACACTGAATTTCCTGAAAATTAAATCAAACGTAATTATTCAATTTACACAGACTATTCTCTTTTTAAATTTTCCCGCTACTTCAATATCTCGCCATTTTCTTCCCAAATGTATAGTCGATGGAAGCGATGCAACGAAGTCGCATATTAAAACACTGAATTTCCTGAAAATTAAATCAAACGTAATTATTCAATTTACACAGACTATTCTCTCATTTCCTCGCGCAAAATCATTTCGTCTTAAACTGCACCGCTACATCAACATCCATTTTCCTCCCAAACGTACAGTCAATGGAAGCGATACATTTTATTCCCAAATTAAAGCATCAAACTATACTCCAACTTTCCTCGTTTACATACCCAATGAACATCCCCCGTTAAAACCCTAATTGAAAAAAAAAAGGAACCGTCTCATCTAGCCGAAAATGCTCGAAAATCAGGCCTTATGTGCACAGGAAGTTTCGTTGCCGGAGCTTATCCGTTTACTATTACTTGCAACCTCCCCCGGTCCGACGATTCGAGTCGTTGGCGCGTAATTCTGTGCGCAGGGAAATTTTTCGAAGGACAATAACGCGGCCGGTGGCTGGCGTCGCGCCAGCGTCGACCACGTAATTCCAGCGACGCCGGCGAGCCGCGCCGCGCCGGTTAATCGGTATCCTGCGTGATTCCGCGCGAAGAGCGCGCGCGTAGAATCGCCAGGCGACTCCGGTCGGACGACGTGATGTTTCCACCGAGTTAATTCCTGTACCGTGCAGCCTCTGCGTTTGTGTTTCAGACAATGGACCGTTGCCCGTCGAGCAGAGCGACGACGGATGGCTGAACATCACAAAAATCAGCCGCGCTGAGAGCGGCTGGTACAAATGTTACACCAGGCACATGCTCGGCATATTCAACAGCATCGGTTATTTTCTCAACGTACGCTGTGAGTATTTTCCTCTCTCCAATCGTACAACGATCGAATCTCCACTCTACGGAGATTTTACATGTCCGTTTCGCGGACGTACGATGGGAATCGAAGACTTTGTTTCGTGGAGAAGGCAGCTCCGTGATTTGTCGAATTTTAGTTACGTTTTCTTCCCTAATTTTTTTTTTCTCATGTTTTCGTGCACTTGTGTATTGCAGAACAATAACAGTGCTTATCTGGATCTTTTTTAGAGAAAAGATATTTTTATGAAATCTTACGTTTAAACATATTTCTTTATTAATTTTCCCAAGATTGGTACGTTTAACAGTACTTTTAATCAGGCTACATTTTCGCAGTGCGAGAAAATTCGAACGACTGATAAAATCGAGGTAACAAATCGATCGATCTCTGTAATGAAGAAGTTGAAGGTTTGGAAAGAGTTTTAAGATCAGTTAAGAGGTTTTATCGAGGTTCCCAAGGTGCTGGTTTCTTTTGTACATTTATTAAGTGTTTGAATCGGAAGTAGAATGGAGAAACGTAGAGCTCTGAAAGAATTGTGAAATCGATTCAGAAATTAACTCTCGTTAATTAGTTTCGTAATTCTAAAACATTTCTCGCGAATGAAATTAATCTGCACCGTTGGAGAGAATTTGAAAAAAATATGAAAGATCGATTACGACGATGCGAAGAAAAATTTCTTCCATTTTCTTCCCTTGCGAAATCATTAACCTAAATACATAGATTCCATTGTACGGCAAAAGAGAAGAAGAAAAAGAAGGAACACGAACAGCTTTCGATTATTCGTTTAATCCTTTCATTGGTACGATATTGGACGAAATAAAAACGCGAGAAAGTCGCGCTAAACACACGTCGGAAATCTATCGGCGCTCATGGCCGACGAAATGGATTTATTGAACGGCTATAGCACGGTCATTTCGTTCTATAACAATGAAAGGGTTAAAAATAGAATAAGTAGAACAGCTGTAGGAGCCGATAAAGGGTACAGTAATATTAGAAATTAATGGAAATCGCGAGCCGGGTTGCACGGCTGTTTGAGTTATGAGGGCGATTTAACCCAGGAGTTTCGTTCATCGAAACGATCCACCGAGTCTTCGAAATGCGATATGTTTGCGTCGTCGGTGAAGATTTATGTTATTAAATGCCGATGGAAAGCGTGTTTCAAATTTGCGTTAAAATTTGACGGACAATCCATTTTCCGGTTCGCACATATCGCTGTTCTTCGAGAAGATAATTCAACGTTTTATAATATCGCGCAGTTCCGTGTTCCCTTCTCGAACGTTCTGCAAGATACACCGTTCCTATTCCCAGTTTCATCGTTCGTAAGAATCCTGTACTACGGAATAAATTTTTTACTGCAATCAATAGAGCACCTCTTCAATTTTTTATCTCGTCGATATACTTGTTATTCTTAAACTTGCTTTGCAACCTAGCAGAGGCAATTACTTATTCGTTTACATTGTTACAATTGGAAATAGGAAATAATAGCGAAGTAGCAGAAATAATGGTGTATCAATTGGAACATCGTTTTACGAAAGTTCTTTATCGTATCTCGTATATCCTTCTATTCTCATAACGTCTCATTTGTATGTACGGCAAACGTTCTCTCGAACAAATCTGAATCCGGTCTGAGCGGAGGAAAAAAAATCAGGTCGCTAATCGCGTGTGGAGAATCGGGAAGAGAAGAGTATTGTCTATCCAAGAGGGCAACAGACATTCGGGCTAATTCGGAATGCAAGGGGGATCGTCGTCGTCGTAGCCGATAACCGGAAACCACAGTCATTTGTCAAGTGCGGAAACCGCCGAGCCAACCGGAAATTATCCGTGCCCTGTCGTGAAAATTTGCAAATTTCCTATCCTGTCCTGGCCCCCAAGGTCCTTCCATCTTGCCATTATAACCGGTGGCAGGGAATCCCTCCTCTTGAACCCTAGTTTCCTCCTTCTCTCTCTCTTTCACTATTTCTCTCAGGATCTCTCTCTCTCACTCTCAATCTCTCACGCTTTCTCTCAAGATCTCTCTCATTCTTTCTCTCAGGTTCTCTTTCTCTCCCTCTCAATCTCTCACGCTTTCTCTCAGGATCTCTCTCACACTTTCTCTCAAGTTCTCTCTCTCTCTCTCCCTCTCAAGTTCTCTCTCTCTCTCTCCCTCTCAATCTCTCACTCTCTCTCTCAGGCTCTCTCAGGATCTCCCTCTCTCTCTCTGCATCTCTCCCTGTCTCTCCCTCTCTCGATCTCTCGCTCTCTAGCTCTGGCAGCCTCCCTTCCTCCGCTTCAGCTTCCGTTTGCACCCTAGACCGACGGGATCCTGGATACGGGTTTCCGAGCACCTAATCTCTACGCAATTTAGATGGCTCGAGAGCACCTATAAACCAACCAGCCTTCGTAAGGAATTATCGATTACAGCGCTACCGCGTCCTGTTCGAATCTCCTGGCCGGATTACTTATCCGCGGATAACGTCTAGGCGGGTTTTAAACGGTGCACACCAATTTCGTGCAATCGGAGATAGCCTGGGTTTTCGGCCAGATAGAGAGAGGGAAAGTGGTTCCTGTAAAGGAATCCTACCAAGGGAGGTCCGCGAGAATCGCCGTTGTTTCGGAAATTGATTTTCTAACCTAACTTATTGGCAGATTACTTTAAGCGGTTTTCACGCTGATGGTTCTTTGGAAAAAGTAATAATTGTAGATCAATTTTGTTTGCAAACTATTCGAAAATCATCGCTCACAAGTTATGCTTCTCTTTTTAATACGGAAAAATGTCTATTTTTTATTCTTTTTAAATTCATTTATTTCAATGTAAAGGTGAAATAATTCGTAATTTTTTTGTTTTAATTTTGCTCTGAAAAGTGTAGCATCAGAGTTATTAGAATTCCTCGGAATTTCCGTTTGTATTCTGATTCGTGGTTACAGAACCAGAATACTCGCGTACCGTTTGATATTTTGAAGATTCCGAATTGTCAAAGTTCCATACACCACCGCAAGCGATACACGAAAAGGGACAAGGGAGCAGAGAGACGGCGAAGGTATCTTCTAAAGTCAGTGGTTAGTTAGTAGTTGGTTAGCCAATCAACTGGTAATCAATCGTCAAACGGTATTACGCGGAGTCAAAAGCAATCAGGCCTGGAACAATCGGCATCTGAAGTACTTAGGCTTCCGTCAGATTAATGAACTATCAAGTTGAAGTTATAGCTTCAAAGGCGCGGACAATTTCCAATCGATTGTTAAATAGAGATATCGCTGGTCAATTAACTCCCAAATAAACCTTCAATTAACGCGAATAATTACAATTCCACCTAAATAAAAAAAAAAACAGAAGCCATCTCTCACAATCTCTCCCTTCGGAAAGGTAATCTTCCACTAAGAATTTTCAACAAACTATAATAATTTCCGTACTTAACTACAACACCGACACGCAGTCATATTGTTCCACACGCGTGTTTGCATATTTTTATATCTTTCCACGAGGTACGACGGGTGGGTTGAACGCGTACGTGATCATGACGCATGGATCCCATCGATACGGTGAAACGCGACAGAATTGCCCGCATCGAGGATCAAAGCACGCGTCAGTTGGGATTTCCGGCGATAGATCAAATTCATGGGTAACGAGACGACGAAAATAAAGCAAAAAAAAAAAAAAGAAAGAAAAAAGAATAGAAGAAAGAGAGACGATCTGTACTGGCGCGCGCAGGGCTAACGAAGAAAAAGTGGAAACTCTTCCCTTCTCCCATCTCCCTGTCCCCGCTTCTCCCATCGGTGCACCCTGTTGTTTGTTATAGCGTCACGACTGTGTTTGCTGTAAAATTCCGAACAAACTACAAGACAAACGAGGTATAGCCAGCGAGCCGACGGCCTGGGCTTGAGGGAGGGTGTAAAAGCCTGCGATCGTCGCATCCACCACTTTGATCCCTTTGTTTTGTTATAGGATGAGCCGGAGGATCAGCTTGCTAACTCAAAGGACTGCTCTCTTTCTCTATCCCTTCAACCACCTCCCTCCACCGTCATCACTACCACCACACTTTCGTTGCTCTCCTCTTTTCCCTTCTTTCCTCTTTTGTTCCTTTCCAGTTTGCATTTCACTCTCCCTCTCTCTCTCTCGTTCACGAACGAATTCCACCCTATCTACCGACGCTCTAATTCTCCTCTTCGAGAAGAGATAGCCCAGCCACGACATCACCAACCCCTCCTCGACACCCTTCACCCCTCGTAATTGTGGACATAGCGTTAGCTCGAGAGCAAACGATCGCGGACGTATAATTCGTAAGGTGGAATTGGAAAGGGTTGCTCGAGACGCCACCGTGTCCGTGTTCTTTTCTCCTCTCCTACGTGTCCTCCTTCTACTCTTCTTCTTGTCGTCGTCGTTGGTGGTGGGTGAAAAGGTTTCGCTCAAGTCCAGAACCGCGGCACGTGGAAAACGCGCCGGTTCCATCGCGTTCCTTCAACTTTATCCCTGGTACGTGCGTGCGATTCCTGATGCGCGTGGCCGCCGCCACCACCACCACCTCGTTGATATCGATGACAACGCCCGATCGGATTTCAGGATCGCTTTAAGATACCTCTGCTGGATACGGATACGCGCCGCGTGACTGAGAACCGTAAGCGCGGGGGATCGCGTGCGTTATCGTTCGAAAAATTGAAATTTCAAGTTTCTTTGGTGAAATGTGCGATGGGAGGATTGGAATCGGTTCGATGGAAAGCGTGGGATTTTTTGACAGTTATCCCGAGAGGGTTTTCTTTTACAGTTAGCGGCGGAGATAGCGATGTTTCTCGGGAAGTAAAGATCGAGGGATAAAAATATAGGAAGGTTTTAACCGATCGTTTAGAATGGTAATTTAAAAGACTCGGTGGATCGAACAGTTAATTTCTGATGGAAAAATCAGTTTGTTGTATTCGTGAAATTTCTATTTTATTTTTCCTGTATTTCTGTTACCTTTATTCAACTCTCGTGGCCAACATTCGCCGTTTAAATCAACGTTCAGATGATCCAGATATGGAAACGGAAGCGGAAGCGTTGAACGGCGAGTCTACCGATTCCCGGAAGATGGAAGTGCAGATTGGGGGAGCGGTGACTCTCGAGTGCGACGGCGGTTGCTGGGGACACGGTCCTGGAATGGATCCGGTTGGTGGACCTGGTCGACTGGCTCTGAGTCGAGTCGTTTACCAGGAAGCTGGCGAGTATCGATGCGTCGCACCTGACAGGAAAATGCAGGACACTTGGCGTGCACAGCTGCCCTACCACATCAAGATCACCGGTGAGTCGAAATTTACAATAATACAAGCTCCTTTCGTCTGTAAGAATGTTCGAGATGAAACAGGTGTACGATTAAAGCTGATCGTATCGCTTGCCTGACAAACGGCTGACTTATACTACTTAGCCGAATAAAGATAGGTTTGTTTCACTGGTTTATGAACACGTAGCTTGCCAATAAAAATTTTTAAACAACGTAAATGATTGAGTTGTTAGGCGATTAATAGTTCTAATTTTTGACAGCGCAAATAATATTACAAACTTGCAATTTAAGCTCGTTAAGGAAGATCGTCCTTTTGCATACGAAAATTCTGCTCTTTAACGAATAACGTTCTTACTTTTTTCACTACTACTTCGTCGGTGCAATTCTAAATAGGAGATCGTTAGAATCAATGGATCCTAAACTGGGAAAATTGCCTCTTTACGCGGAACCGTCTAATCGGTCAAACGACTGTGATTTTTGAAACTCTGTGTGAACGAGATACGTATCAGGTCAAGCCTGAATAACATCAGACCTTCGATAATCAATACCAAGAGGGGGTTAATTTACCGGGTGGACGGCTAATTCAAAGCTTATCATCATCAGTCACTATCATGAGGCTGGCCCCTCTCTACGTACCGCCTCAAAGGAATTATCCAATTTTCTCCAATAATTGCTCGCGTGCGCCCTTCGACGACCACCTAATTGCAAGACTTATGAACGCACTTTAGACAAATTACATTTGATCCCCGGACCCGCGTTCGCTAATTTGAACGATCACTTTCTTACAGAACACTTTCGCCGTGTAGTACCATCCTCTTCCACCCTCTTTTCCACCTAATCGTTCCACCTATTCTCCGAAAACTTCCATCGAATAAACACGCGTTCTCTTCTCCTCCCGTCGGAATTTTCTCGCCGTCCCTGTAAAAACAAGTCAAATGTCCCCGCTTTTGTTTCCATTCCAACGTGTAAATAGCCATTAGCCAGTGTCCTCCTCTAAATTGTCCATATTCATTAAGCTTTTTTTCGTACACACACGCGATCGTTACATATCTCTCGCGTATTTTAGAGCCGTTGTACACGTAACCCGAGTGGAAAAAGCAGCAACGGAGAATTAGAATTTTCCACCGCGCGTTCCTCCGACCAACCAACTCCTCCTCCCTTCCTTTTTCTCTATTTCCCTTGTAACGTTATTATCGTCTTTCACGATGCTGCAACGAGCATTCTCTCTCTCTCTCTCTCTCTTTTCCACTCTTTCTCCGGCGATGTATCACGTGTAACAGTAGAAAAAACGTATCCTTCCTCCGGCGCACAATGTGCGGCGAGTTTGTTGTTCCGTGAACGCATCATTACGTCCGGGCATTCAGGTGAATTTCCAGGCGAGAGAGAACCGGAACAGCTTTTTCGTGAAATCTATCGACTCTCGCGTGTCGTTAAATACCTTCCCCTCTCTCCCTCTCGCGCTCCCTCTCTGACCATGGAAGCTGTTCGCGGGAGAGAAAAATTAATTAAAGCGTGCTAAACGCGCGCATTCGTGCGCCAAAATGGTCTCAGAAACGAGCGGCGAACGAAATTGAACGGGGCCAACACCGGGATCGTCAACGTTGATGGTCGCCGAATGGGATTACCTTGTTTCTATCCTTGTTATTCCATCGCTAATTCCCATTCACCGTACCTTGACAGCTTCTTCCGAATAATCCCGCGATATTCTCGCTCCAGATATCGCGTAATTGCCGGGCGAAATATGTAACTCGAAAGTGTAACTGGGAGTTCGTTCTTCTGGAATTCTGCGAGAATGTGTACAACGGGAGAAATTTTTACATGGGAGATCAGATTGCCGAGAATTTTGAATGTAATTTGAAAAATACGCGTTGGAGTGTGTAACGAGATTCCGTGGACTCTGAGTTTGATAATTTATTACGGTGAAACGAAGGACGGTGAAAATTATGATAGTTTCGTGGGTTGACAAGTGAGCTGAGTGACGACGAATTTCTAAAATCTTTCAAATTAAAAAGAAAATGTTAGGTTTTTGCAATCTGAGATGTAAATTTTTATTACACTCTATCTCTAAATTGAAATATCTCAAAAATTTCTGATATAAACGCGCAAAGTTGGGAACTGAAATAATTCCAAGGATAATGTAACTAAAGATACAAATTATTCTACAAAGTTCTGCGTTGGAGTTAAATTCTTCAAATTTAATAAAAATTTCAGCGAGATATTACACTTTTCTTACACTCTATCTCGAAATTTTAATAACTCCAAAATTAAAAAGTGAAATAATTCCAAGAATACTATGACCGAAGATACGAATAATTCTACAAAGTTCTGCGTTGGAGTTAAATCTTTCGAATTAAAGAAAACTTGAGACATTAAACATTCTTACGCTCTATCTCGAAAATTTCCACTCTAAACATCGAAAACTGGAAGCCGAAATAATTCCAAGAATAATATGCCCAAAGATACAAACAATTCTGCAAAGTTCCACGCGGGAGTTGTAAAAATTCAAAAGAGCTCTGTTCCATAAAGGACGTGACTAAGAATTTCAATGATATCGAATGCCTGCTATCGGAGAAACACGCAACTAGGAATTTGAATAAATCCAAAGATCAATGTCCAGACCCTTTTCACGTGGATGGTCACGTTTCCCCGCAAGTATCTTCACCGGCGGGCGGAGAGGGTTCGGTTCGACTTCTCGAAGGATCGACACAAGGGGGAGAAAAGGAAAAGTCGGCAGAAGGGTAACGGCGGATTCTTCGTCGCCGTGGGACTTCTGTTTGATCTTCGAAATACGCGTGTTTGTGCGTACGGATGTGCACGTGTACACATGCAGAGACGTTTTCCCCCGACGAGGGCGCGGAAAACAAGTTTATGACGCGGAATGGGAATTGGTGTGCCGTAAAGGCTGCCACCATGCCTCCATGTACGCACCACGATCTATCGGAATGATCCTGGCCCGTTCTGACGGCGGGAAGCCAGATCCTCTCGTCAAGTTTCATATTGAGAGACACGTGACAGTTTCATGGTTTTAAGTTCGTCAAACGCTTCGTAGCTGGTCGCGTGTTACGCTCCTGGTTTATATTTTTCGAGAGATAGCCGCGTTTTGGGCTTTATTATTCGCTGCAGGAAGAATGGGTTTGGTTAGTGACTTCTGTGGTTTTTTAAGTGTTTTATTCATTGATTTTTGCAGTTAGCAGAATTTACGAGGAACGAGATTTTGCAAAGGAAATCTTTAGTGAAAGAGATCTACGTACAGTTTTAAAAATTTTCTTAATTTATTTTGTGAAACCGTAAAAGGAAACGTAGAATAAAAGTGGAACAGTCGTGAGCAGTTATGAATTCATGAATGATATGCCACGCAACGGTAATACGTGAACGCAGAAATTACGATTGAAGCATGGTGCATTGAAAGAGGACGATAATCTGGCCTTAACAAGAGTGTTTCTCGCGACTGGTCTCGCGAGCTGAAAAGCCACGAGTGAAAACGACGTGGGGATTATAAGAGCGGATATCGGGGCAGAGGAGGAGAAAAGACAGGAAACTTTGCTAGCGTTTAACTTCTCCGCTCTTCTGCCCGTGTTCTTCCCCGTGGTCGAAGTAGTTTCAAACGGAAACCGATCGTTTGTCGTTTCTGACAGATTACAGAGGGTCATCGTCCAGTTTAGAAGGGAAGATGAGAAAACAGGCGTGCACCGTCGGTGGTATTAGAATCTGATTCAAAACTAAATCGCACGCTAATGGAATTGACTGTTATAAGTTTGTATGCAGAGGCTTTGAGCAGCGGCCCGCTAAGAGAGTTGAAACCAGCAGCTTTTACTAATGGATATCTCCCTCTAACCAAATATCCTCCGTCGATGCTTCTGATTGCTCTGCCCTTGTGCTAGTTAATTAGCGGGATGCTTTAGAGGGTAACCGATGATTTCGGTGCCCAGGAAATCCCATTGTGGATGCACCTTATTTGATCATGCGATGGAAAGTGTTTTGGATCGTGAAACAGTCTGATGGAGATATAATTTGCGATACATCGATAATATCAGTTTTATGTATCAACGAGGGGGTTAATTAAATTTGAAAATTCCTCTACCTTAGTTTCCCATTTTCTGGAAAATTTGACATATTGAATTTTGGGAGATACAACTTTGGAATCATCAATGATATAAATTTTAAATATTAACGAGTGATTTATTTAAATTTGAGAAAGAGGAAAAATGATGATACAAATTTCAAATATTAAAAAACAATGTCCCGAAAAATAGGACACCCCAAGCTTCAAAGCCGGAATTCAAATCTTCAAATTCCCGAAGTTCCCGATTCAAAGCAAAACAGTCCAAAAAACCTTATCAAGCCTGAGAATTGTGAAACCGTAGAATGCAGAATTGTCCAATTTCGAAATTTCAATTTCCCAAGTACATATTTGTCAGTGAAAATGCACGACCATCTTTTCCAACCCTTTGCCTCGAGACTCTTCCTTTGAATACTCGTCAGAGAGCAGCGTTCCGCGCGCTATTTCCGTCCACGTTGCTTACACGCCGATGATAAATGCAGATTCTTCTTTCAAGTCGCAATAGCTGGCCTCTTCTCACTCCACGGACCCTGAAAGCGCCCTTGCTTGCTATCCGGCCCGAGGCAATCGTTGAAGCAATCTCGACTTCTTATTGATTGCAGCTCAGGCAACTCGTGCGTGTAAGGGGCTCAGCCATTCGAACGGTATCCTCTGGATTTTAAAATCGTTTCCCTGAATTGAACAAGGGCACGCCGCGGAAATCATACTATCGCCAATTGTCTCCATTTCTACGCCCCTTTTCTCTCCTCTCTCGTTCTCGTTGTCGAGCCATCGAAACGAAGCAGCTGAATCAACCATTTTTTAATCGATACTCGACGAGGAAACGGTGAAATTTCACGACTGCACCACGCACTCGATGTCACGAAAGTACGGACAAAAGTATTTCGTGGTTCTTACTTACGTGGTAGTTTCGTAAAATGTTGCATTTCGATTTCTAAGCAGAGCGCAAATGCTGACTCGC